GTGATTATATGCTCTGGTAGCTGGGAATAGGATTATCCCAACATATGTTTTAGCCCAAGAAAGGATGATCATTGGAAGCCTGCTCAGAGGGTAGTCACAGGCTTTTCTGGAAAGGGTGATGTGAGAACTGGGTCCATATGCCTTGACTATCTCTTTGCTTATATATATTGTATTCACTGCTTTACATTTCTTATATGGACTGTGAGGGAATACAGGTGAAAAAATAGATTAATGTAAAGGTCAATAAAACCCGTAATTATTGGGTCAAGAACAGAAAAGATATAATTATATTTGAAAATAAAAGAATAAAATAGAGTCAGGCATGGGATAAATACATTAAAATATACTTTCCATGGCCACTGTGTTCTCTTTTGAAAGTATATTGTCCTCAGCAGGCAGTTGACTTTTTCTCCTCAACGTGGGTAAGTGGAGATCTGAATGGAGAGGGCACGAAGGAAGATGGATGTGGGAGGGGAGGGGCAAACGGACACTTACTGGCAGCTGGACACTTTTCAAGCCTGATGATTCTCAGAAACCATTTACCAGGCAGCTTTAAATCACAGTCAAGAGACAGGTACTGCTTCAGTAATTCAAGTATCACGGTTGAGAGAGGTAAGTATGTTTGTGACTGTGAGTGGGCTGGACTTCAGGGACTCTTTATTCTGAGGATCTAGAGGTGGGCTCCACGGTCTTTGAACACCATAAACTTATAGAATAATTTCTGGGAAGAGGGAGCATGATTTTTATCAAATCCTCAAAAGTATCCATGATCTAAATAGTTTAAGACCTACATGTGGATTCCCAAGAAGGGACGAGGGAGGCGGGGGGAGGAGACGGGCTGCATAGAACATTATAGTAAAATATATTCCATCATATTATATAATGGGTGATAACTGATAGCTTAAAAATGACTCAGGATTCTGATCTAGTGTCTATTAGAAGCATTTGCTTTCAACTTCTAACTAAATTTCTAGTCTAATTACCTTACTTTAACATTATCCCTATTCTTACTATTCTAATTCATCAGCTCATTCTAATCAATAACATTTTCACAGGCAGAACCTCTGTAAATTTTAGTGCAGTTCTGTTGTTTATTATAGCACTGATTTCCACAGTATTCTGGATAATTATTTCCTATTTGATAGGCTTTCAGGATTTACTTATTATTAGCAAGATCCAAACCCAACAAAGTTTCAAGATGACAGAGATGACAGATAAAAACTTTTATACTCCTTCCTTTCAAAATCACCCCCAAAAAGCAAGGAGAACAAGAAATGGATACACATCCCATATATTATGGAACCATAATATATGAAGGCAGAAAATGAAGAGAGGATGGCTCATAGCTTAGCAGAGAAAAGGAAGATCTAACCCAAGTGCCTTCAAGGTGAGGGGATAGAGGAAGTGGTACACGTGAGAAACATCTCCCCAGAATCTATCAAGGCTCAGGAACTGGAGGCATCAGATAATTTAAAAAATGGGGTGGGGGCGCCTGGGTGGCTCAGATGGTTAAGCGTCTGCCTTCGGCTCAGGTCATGATCCCAGGGTCCTGGGATCGAGTCCCACATCAGGCTCCCTGCTCCTTGGGAGCCTGCTTCTCCCTCTGCCTCTCTCTCTCTCATGAATAAATAATAAAATCTTTTAATAAATAAATAAATAAATAAATAATAAATAAATAAAATAAAAAATGGGGTGAAGTGGAGTGAGGAGGTGCTGAAAACTCTGAGTCCCCAAGTCTCCGCCCCTTCTTCATGTAGTCAAAGGGCTACTCTTCCCCTCACCTATGCAGGAAACCAGGATATTTGCTTGGGGACTTGGGGACACCAGCAAAAGAAAAGTTAGGGTGAGGTACACCCTGAAAATGAGAGAATTAAGTGAAAGTCTACATTCTCAAAGATGAGGAGATACAGTTCTCTTTTCTCAAAATGCCACCACGCACGTTTACACCATTTCCAAGCAAAAGATTGGCAAGTCCAGAGAAAATGAGCTTAGATACTGACATTTAGGGATGTCCAACAAAAGACCAGCTGGCCTTCTGCTCACCTGGTGGTAAGGCCCAGCAATCTACAGATACCACCCGCATGAGCTGGTGTGTGGTGACCATTATAATGCTTTACTCTTATATGAGTAGACGCTCAAGGATTTCAGGCATTTGAGGGAAACCAGCAAATATGGAGAAAAAGAGTTTCAGAGGACACAGGCAATCAAGGAGCAGAAGAGAATTTTAGAGGAATTATAATTATTATCTTCAAAAAGATGAGATGAAAATGCATCCATGAGAGAATAGCATGCTGTGAGAAAAGGAGCAACAGATAAGAAAATGCTTATAAATTATTACTCCTGGACATTCAGAAGGAAAAGTCAATATGAGCAATGGGAAAGAAGAGACAAGAATATAAAGAGATCAATACAGGAAGTCCAATGTCCAACCAACTGGAGTTCCATTCAAATAGGACCCAAAAAATGGTGAAAAGGAAATTATTTTTTAAAATATAAGATTACAAAAACATTGTACTGAAGAAAATGAGCCTGCAGGTTGAAAAGCCTCACCAAGCAAAACGATGGGGGAAAAAAGTCCCAAACCAAAGCATATCTTTGTGAAATTGCCAAAACCCAGGGATAGAGAGAGGATTCTAAGAGAGAGAAAATCAAATAACATCTGATTTGTTAGGAATGAGAATTGGATATACTTCTCAAAAACAGCTTCAGAAGTTAGAAAACAATAGAGCAGTCTTTCAAAATTCTGAGTGGAAATGTTGCAAGCTAGAATTGTGGGGGAAGCTAACAATTGAATAGAGAAATAAAGACATTTTCAATCATGCAAAGCCTCAAAAGTTATTGCACTCCCCAATGTTGAAAAGTTAACACCCTTTCTCATGAAGCCACTGGCAGATGTGCTCCTGCAAAATGAGGGAGGAACTGAGGAAGAAGAGAGGTGTGGGGTGCAGGACCCTTGAGGTCATCCCCAGGAGAGGAAAGCTGACAGCCCACAGAGAATCCAGACCAAAGAGCAGGACCAGACTACCACAGGGGGTCCCCGGGACAGGAAGGCATTGAAGAAATGCTTTGAGCCTTTAGAGAGCTGTGTAGGATATGAGAAGACTTCGATGTTCAAAGAAATCTTAACTCCAGGAAATAAAAACATTTACATCAGAAAGGAAACAAACCTTGGATACTAGTTGGCTCAGTTGTGAATATTTATATAGAGAGTGCGGATCTGGATTGCATTGTGAGTGTGAGGGGAGGGAAGAGAGGAAGGGAAGAGAATTCTCACCTGTCACAAGATATCAGTGTTTAAGGGTAAACTCTGGCACCTGGATGCTGGGAGCTTGCCCACCTCTGCCACGTACTAGCTGTGAGTCCTTGGGCACATTACCTAGCTTCTCTGTGCCTCAATTCCTTCATCTGTACCTGGGGATAACAGTAGTTCCTAGGACCACAGGGCGGTGGTGAGATTTAAGTCAGTGAAACAGTTGGAGAGCTCTTAGGATTGTCAGCACAGAAGAAGGACTATATACATACTTGATGAATAACCAAGTGCTAATAATATGGACATACTATCTAGAAATATGGTAGGAAATAACTACCAAATTAGGGAAAGATTAAGTGCCTTTGGGAGTCAGGAAGGGGAAAGGATGAGAGACTACTGTTTTTGATTCTAAACCTCTTACCATGATTTGATTTTTGTTTTATAACTATTCAGGTAATACTCCAAGTAAAATAAAATTAACTTAAAATGAGCAGCCAACTCCAAATTTTAAAATGAAGGGGCACACACAGCTTTGCTGGGGGCTATTTCATCCCTCCCCCGACAATTTATTAACATTCCCATTTGCTGTGCTAGTAAAATTATGTGTATTTCTAAATGTAGCAAGGGACCCAACTTAATTTTTAAAAATAAAATTGTCAACACAAAAACTTATTATTCAGTTATTTCTGCAATAAAAATGTAATCAATTAAAAAACAAGGTTTTCATTGCTCTAAAGGAGTGTCTTACAGATACTACCTATTGGTCCAAGGTTTGGGGAAAAAACATACACGAAAAAGGAAGCAATTTGAACTCCACTTTCCCCCTCCTCCTGCCCTCTGATAAAGATTTTAATAAGTAATGAAATGGGAGACTTAACTAAGTAAAAAGGGGAAAACATAAAGGCTTTGGGTCAAGAAAATGCATAGACTTGTGTTTCCAGAGGCTCACTTCCTCTTCTAAACTAACCGAAGGACAGCAGGAACCAACCAACCTTGGTTCTGTAATTACATCACGCTGCTCCCCAAAGATCTCACATCCAGCCTATGCATTCCACAAGCATGCTACCATAGGCTAATAAAAAAGGATTCCATGCAATAATACTCCACCTGATGCTCAATCTGCATTGCCTAATCGTCTGCCAAATCCTAGCTTTCAAGACGTACCCTGCCTTATTATCTGTATAAATTTAATCTGTCTTCCAAGCTAATATGAATTAAGGTAGTCACAAGATAACTTCTCGAATATTATCATGTAGCAATCTGAGTACCTCTAAGTTGCTTCTTTTAATATACATGTATATATGAAAGGTGTTTTCTTTTGCCTGCCTTCCTTTGAGTGGCCATTGATGGATATAGCATTCACTTCTCAATTCACAGCCCTCTTTTCTCCTCATACCACTAGATGCTCATCATTGCAATGTAGAATTACAAAACACATTTTGCTCTGGGCGGCTGCCAAACTGTCACTGTATCTGGATAGTGCTGCCTCTTCTCTAAAAAGGGAACAAAATAGTCTGAACTGTGTCCTGGTGTGCCAGGGTGGGCCACCATGACAGCCAGCTAATTCATCACTGTGGGGACCTTAGCTCTGCAACTGACCACCCAACTGACTGTCATCGAAGGGGGTGGCAGTTAATCATTTCCTTAAATGATGTGAGTATGAAAACGGAGCAGACTGCTGCTCAGAGGACAAACCTGATCCATCCTCCCTGCCCCGAGTAGTGACTGTGCCATTTTCCCTTCTTCCCAGACCGCAGGGTTTCAAGAGATTCTGACCGAGGTGGAAATTTTAGCGGTGATTGTGGGATGCCTGTGTCATGACCTTGACCACAGGGGAACCAACAATGCCTTCCAAGCTAAGTAAGTGTTCTAATTGTTGTTATTTTAATGCATTTGCCTTTCTGTTCAGAGCCAAAGGTGACGAGTGCTAAAGAGTAAAGCATTAATATCTGGCATCTGAGGCCAAGGCCATGCAGACTTGGGTGTGCATGTCATGGAGCTCATCCATCTTTATAATTCCCTATTCTTCTTTTAATTGCAAATTTGCCCTTCATGTCATGCTTGTTGATTTGGTCTGTCTCTGTTGACTTCAGTCAGTTAACAAAGCTCAGATTTTAAAGGGCCTATTTTTTTTTTCTCCCAGAATATTTGCCTTCATGGCATTATAAGCATCTTGGACTTGCTACTCTCAAAATCGGGTTTTGAGACTATTAAAATAAAAGTGGTCTTAAGAAATTTTATGAAGCAAAATATCTTTCTTCACCCAATAGAATCTCTTGCAGGTTCTTTAATGGTGGGTTTGTATAAACTGCAGTGAAGTAAAGCGACGTGAGGAATAGGGTCTCTGCTGCTCTCATCCGTCTTCCCACAGAAAGGTGGGAAACAAAGGATTGCATCAGAACCGGGGATGTGCGAGCACATAATGTGCACAGACAGAATAATCTGCCCCTAAGCAAGTTGGACTGGCCAAGATAACCGTTGCTCCATGGCTCACGCTGTGGCCAAGGCCGTAGAATGTATGGGTGCTGGAAATAAGACCAAAACCCCAATCTCCCAACTTAGATTGAGGATCCAGTTTCAATGTTCTTTTTACTCTCTGTTTGCAAACAAAATGATATGTTAGCTCAGACTCTGGAGCAAAAAGTTTGGGGATGGAGAAGTTAAGGCAGGCTTCAACAAAGAAGTAAGGTAACTGTCAGGTGACTGATTTCGAAGCCCCTGAACAGGTCTGCCTCCACAGTCTGAACGTCAACAGCGCACCACTCACTTTGTTCCTGGAACATCTACCTATTGAGTCCTTGGAGTCCTGGCATCTTGCATTTACTCCTGATGAAGCAAATGAATTTTTATCTTATTCACTTCTCTATGCATCCTGGATCCTATTATAGCCCATCACTTCAACTCTCTCTTCTCAATATCCTATGATTTCTTGACCCTCTTAACCTGCTGTGACATCTACTCTGCAAAGACTCAGCCCCAGCTCAATCAAACAGTTCAATTTCTTGCTACTCTACCTAGATTTTTAAAGGCTTTGGAAGAAAATGTCACGGTTGTGAGAGTCTGAGACATACCAGATATATATTGTCCCAACTCAGCTGGCGGCTCTGTACTCCCCGCTGATCTTTCTGCATCCCCAGCCAGCTCCATCCCCCATTGCTCTTAGCAGTTATATGTACCAAACTGTTCTCCCTTCCTAAACCAGCCCCTGTCTACCACCACCCCCGCACCACTCAGCAGATCACCTTGCCTCCTCCGTCACCGAGAAAATTGAGGCCATCAATTGAGCACTCCCTCAATTTCCTCCCCTGCCATGTAGAAACTTATCTGTCTGGCCGCATCCTTTCATCCTTCCCTCCTATCTCAGCCAAAGGGCTGTGCTGCCTCCTGTCTGAGGCTAATCCCTCCACCTCAGCTTTGGGTGCCTTCCTTGCCCCCTCCTGCGGGACCCCACTCCATCAATCTTCCTCTCTCTGCCTTGTGTCTCCTTCCCCTTCCTACTAGTGCTCAGCATCCTGTTAATGTGAACGATTCTCCCCCATCTTGAAGAAGCCCACCTCGATCCCCACTTCTCCCTCTGGCTTCCGTCCTCTTTCTCTTCCTTCCTTTCCAGTCAGTCTTCTTGGAGAGTTGTCTGTTCATTGTCTTCACTTCCTCAGCCCCTCCCTTCCACATGGCTTCCAGGGCCACCTTACCAGGGAAGACCACCAATGGCCCCTTTTCCCAAAGCTTCTTTCTTGGTCCTTCTTGCCCTCAGGCACATTTTGCCACTCCCTCCTTCTGAGAACTCTCTTCCTACTGGAGTCCCCCACTCTCTTCTTTTCCTCTATCCCAGTGAATGGCAGCACCAGAAATCCACAAGGCACCCATATCTTCTCCCTAGCACCCTTCAAAGTCTAAATCTCTGCATCCTTACTCTAACTGCTGCTTCTTCACATCTGTCCTGGATTGCTACAACAAGCAGCCCAACTTCCCTCCTCCGGTTTTCCCCCTCCCTGGCACTCCAGAATAATCTTTATAATTCACGAATATTCTGACTAGATCACTCTCCTGCTTAAAAGACATTCACTGGCCTCCTGTGACTTTCAGGATAATGTTCAAATTGCTTACATTAGCCTCTGAAGGTCCTTTTCAGTCAGGCTTCTGCCCATTTTCCTGGCCCAGCGCCCACTCCTTCCACCCCCACCCCCATCAGCACATCAGTGTTCCAGACACAGGGGCTATTTGGAGTGCTCGAGAGGGTCCAGTTAGTCACCTCTCTCTGATCCCCGGTATGCCACCTGCCTTGTTTGGAATGCCCTTCTTCTCCTTTCCCCAAAACTCCTCTGAAAGCATCACCCTCCGGGCTTTATCCCTGAGGTACCATCCCCTTTGCAATTTTCTGTGCCCACATAATGCCCTCTGCTTTTTCAAAAGTATGCATCTCACTACATTTTAATTGCTGATTTACTGCTGTGTCTTTCCTTCTTCTTGAGTATCTGTAATGCGTAACAAGTACCAAGAGCATAAGAAACACACAAGGAATGTTTGATGAGTGAATGAATGAATGATGAATGGATAAATGGATGAGATTATATTTTAACTAATTTAACAATTTTAATATAGCTTTTCAATAAAGTTTCCTGATTTCTTAAGTATAATCTTTTATAGATTATTATAAAACATAGTATTTATACACAAAGGTTTGATGTTGCACTTAAGACAATAGTGTCCCTGGGGCCTACTGAAGTGTAAACTGAGTATACTTTCATTACAGAGTCTGACAATTCCTTATGTTTGAGTTCCTGTGTCTGCATTTCATTATTTTTTAGGATGCCTCTCTCTCTCAGGTCAATGGCATCACTATCAGTGTATCTTCCTTTAGCACCCTCTCTCCAGCCCCCTACCATTCTGCCACTTATGCATAAAGAAAAAATAAATGTATTAGAATTATATTCATGAAACAAGACTGAGCACCTTGTGGGTTCTTTTTAAGAATCAAGTGCACAATGCTTGTGCTTAGATACCAAAGTCCCCTCCCAGAGAAAGCCTGTGTATCACACTGAGAATGACAGCCCTTCTTGCCAGTTGACCTCTCAGCATTTTGGACTGAGAATACACACCTATAATTAAAACCCAGCTAATCATATTTTATCTGCTAGGAATGATATTGACTCAGTTAGCTGTTGAGATCCAAGATGCAGATCCACAGAGACTTGGGAGCTCTAGGCTGCCATTCTGGGAAAGCCATGATGACCACATCAAGTAGACAAGAGAGACAAGAAAGGGAATCTGCAGAGAGAAGAGAAGAAGTAGATATCCAGAGAGAAACAGAAAGAGATTGTACAACCCTAGAGAAAGACAGAGAAAAAGCAGACTTGATCCATGCTTTCCACATCTCTCCTCCCTTTCCAGGAGACCCAACCACACTTGTGATAATTGGGCTCTGTCAGAGTTCATTTTATCTTTTAATCAACCTTCTCTTTAGTGAAGCTGCTTCTAATAGATTTCTGTTCTTTGCAACTAACAGTCCCTGAGACCAAGAGAAGAACTACGATGTGTTGTTTCCTACTTCCAGGGCTCACCAACATAGCTACAGGGCAGATATTTTTTGTCTCCACTTAAGAGGGAAGGCCTGAGCCTCAGGAAAGTAATTAACTTGCCCAAATTCATACATCCAGAATGTGGTAGAATGGCATTTGGACTGGGCTATCTGATTCCGAAAGCCATTCTTTAATCACTGCATCATACTCTCTTTCGTGACTGTGTAATATTTATTTGGGGCCTTTGAGCTTCCAGTTTATTGGCTGCCTTGCCATATATGTGAGCCTTGGAAAACTAAAATATATTTTGACATCCAGCAAATCAAGACACAGAGCCATAAACAATCATAGAACTGAACTAAACCTTGGTAGTCATATCTTTTTTCAACACCTTAATTTTACAAAACTGGAAACTAAGGTTCCCAATCTCAAGCGACTGGTGTAAGATTAAACAACTTTCAACATATGAGATAGGTATTAAGTTGATGATACTAGAATTCAGTTTTTTTTTTTTTTGGCATCCTCATACCACATGATCAAATCTACCCATTCCAAGATAGTCCAACGTGTTTCCTCGAGACGATTAAACTTGTACACAATTTACCAGCTCATGGGATGTCCATCAGCCCTGCTTCTACCTAAGAGAGTCACTTTTGTACCCAACCTCAGTTAAAATTTCCTTCAACAGTGAATACTGGAAGAGACCTTTTACATCATGGGGAAGGGATTACCTTTTTATTGATTAGAATAAGACTTATTCAGTAAGTGTGCCATTGTTTAGAAAAACCCTAAGAAGAAATCTAATCCTTATTTCCTTTGTTATTCCACAATAATTGAGTGCTTTATTGTGCAAGGCTCTGTGCTAGGCATTGTGGGAGAAATAAAGAAGTATAACAAAGAGTCCCTTCCCTTAAAGTATTCACAGTATAATTCCAACCTTTCAAGTGATTTGGAAATGGGATTTAAATGCACCAATTATTATGTGGCAAAGCATACAGTACCTTTTATTCATATATAAGGCTATAAAGAAACGAGACATTTAGCAAGGGACAAATTACTATATAAAATGCAAAATGCCTCTACAATAAAAAGTTGTGACTTTAGTTATAGCACAATATGATTTATTCTCTTAGCCTTTCTGATGAGTGAACCTTTGCATTTTCATATTTTATTCTAAATTTTTAAGTATTGGAGCGCGTGCAGTGAATGATCAATAGGCAGAGAGGGCTGCTATCCCACCATGCTTGGCAAGTACTCTGTGAACACCTCTCTCCTGTTTTCTCCAGGGACCACGTTTCCCACTCATCTCCCTCTCCATTACAGCTGCCCCCGATGATTAAATATCAGTACCAAGCAGCTCTGTAGTATATTCTCCTAGGAGACTTCTTCTATTCATTTCTAGCATAATCTCTTATACTCATTTATTGGGAATGAAAACCCATCTTGTCGCTTTCGGCCAGGTCCCAGAAGTGAAAGCCTGGGGCACATTAATCTGCCGTGACAGCCTAATCCCATTCCTCACCACCTCCCAGCAATTCTCAATTTCCTAATTACCTTTCATAGTTTTCCTTTTAAAACTTTCCCATAAGCCACGGCCACACACTTCCATTACATCTCTCTTTATGCACATCTAGCAAACTTATGCACGTTTTTGCACTTTTTTTTTTTTCTGCTCCCTGTGCAAAGTGCTGAATGCCTGTAGGGAAAGAATTTTCACTTCAATGTTTCTTTTTAATAAGTGTCTCCTTGGTGTGTCGCCTATCCAAAAATGAAAAACTTTAGTATGTTGTGATGACCTAATCAATAATGAGCATCATGAATAATCACATGTATAAATATTCCTGTGCTTTTGGCATTTGGATATATAATATGGATATCCACAATTTGGAGCTATACATAGCTCCACATTTGGATATGTAATATTTTTGTAATTACACTGTGTGTGCCCCAAAGCTCTTATATGATGGGTATACTTACCACAGACAATTAAGATGAAGGCCGGTGTTAAAGTTCATTTTTTCCATATGAAATTGATTTGGGTATCTTTTTCATATTTTACATGAAAAACTGGAAGTATACCTTTACACAAAACATATTACATGAAAGACATGGCCTCTTTTAAAAAATGGTTTTATGATAAAGTAAAATTGGTTAATACTGCATATTATATTCCTCACCTGCCAAATCACAATGTATTTTCACATATTGATACCATTGGGAAAACCTACAATAAAAAAACAGCTTAACTTTTTAAACCCAGCATTTTGACCATGGGACTTTTTCATTTCTGCCCACATGCCATTTAATATTTCAAAGAACTAATATTCTGCAGACTACTTTTTGATAAGGTATATCCTAACACATTTTATTTTTTGCCACTTTCATCAAGTTTAATGTCTATGGGCTTCACTCCTGCAGCCCTAGGAGCTTCATAGCATGTACAGTGGCAGGTATAGGAAACATCCTCAGTGAGACTTGGCCTGAGAGAAAAAGCACCAAGGGGTTTTGCAGTCTTAGAAAAACTGACAAAGACCAAATCTAATAGTGTAAACAAAGGATCCATATGGAAATGGAAGTATTCTTGCTTATATGGTTTTACTCTAGAAAACTGAAGTAGGTTTAGTCTCACGCTCTCTTCTATGAACGCTAAGACGGCACCTTGTTTGCAGAAAGGTGAGCATTATTAGTGCAAGTCTAATCAGAGAATGTCTCCTACAAAATTATAGGGGATGGTGAGCTTCCTGAGGGCAAGAGCCAAGTCTTATTTGGCTTTGTATTCCACATGCCTGCAGCCTGGCTTTGTGAAAGTCATCAATCCTTATTGGGTGAATTAATGATAGATGAATGAATGAATGAATGAATCACAATGTCTTCCTGCACTTTTGTAGCCTTACTCTACTTCAGTTGCAAAATCTACATATTTTTGTGATGAACTCAGTATTGTGTGAGAGTCGGAAGAATATAAGATGGAATTACAAAGGGAACAAAGAGGGAGCCTGCTGTTGAAGATGCTCAGATGGGGGACAGTCACATGGCTGCATTTGCAGGAACACCTGAGAGGACTTGTGACGGAACGCAGTACTCAGAAGCCCTATGGATCTGGGGAAGGGGGAGAGGAGCAATGTAGGAGGCACCAGAGTATTCATTATAAGGTGTCCCCTGGTTAAGGGAGGGAACATTCTACTCATCCTGAAAGAAGAAAATATAATTTGTGATCATCTAGCTGGTTTAACTTTTGTGAGGTCTGCTAAACCAACATGATAAAGGAAGAGAGAATATTTTGCATTGTGACCTGAGCTCTGTTATCAGGATTCACACCACTAAGTGAGGTGCAACTGGGCATGGCTGGTGAATAGAAACAAGTCACAGGAATCTGAGCCTGTGGTTAGCAGTTATACAAGTAGAATTCTCTTTACATTTTGAAATCTTCTTTCACTGATGACAACCAGCTTGGCAAAAATGGAGACTCAGTAGCAGAAATGAGAAAGTTATCTTTCTCATGATGTAATGAGAAAAAAGTTACAAGCTTGGGTTCCAGTCCAGAACTGGTACCTGCCAGCTGTGAGATCTTGGGAAAGCTGCGTAACTCTTCTGAGCCTCGGTTTCCTCATCTGTCAAATGAGAAAAATAACACCTCTTTCGTGGCTGTTGTCAGGACTAGATGAAATAATACAGTAAGTTGTTAATATATTGCCTAGTGTATGATAGGTAGGTATTCATGATAGCTAGCATTGTTAAAGACATTATCACAAAATATGCTAACATGCTTATTACTGTCAACTTTCCAATTCCAACTATAATCTCTAGCCATACCACTGTAAGCTTATTAGCCAAGCAGCTAATATTTTTTAAGCACCTGTTCCATGCCAGGCAATTGGATGTGACATGCGCATAACACATCCTAGAATTTCAAAAACCAAAACAAAGGCATACAGTGTACACTTTGAAAAATGTATTTTCATAAAAATGAGCTCTGATAGAAAATAGTAACTAAAATTAAATATTAATTAATCATTGATTACTAAGATTAGCCTAACAAATTTTCACTTATTAAATGGTATAGATTAAGGCAAGACTTAAAGAAATAACACATACCCGATTAAAATCTAGTTCCCTCCTTACCAACTCTATTCATAATAATCCCTATGGACCCTGTGCTTCTCCCAACATGTGGTGAGTTCTGAGTCTTTCCAAGCATCACAGCTCCCTGGTCTCCTGATCTGGCTGGGGATCTTGGGGATGGAGGGCAGCTCATGACCAAAATCCTTCACATTGCACATAAATGCAGTTCTTGCTCCTCTCATTAGCAGGGCAGACTGTGAGCTGTCAATCTCTGGCATTTCCAAGTAAAAGCTAAATTGCCCTTTTAACATCCAAACTCACTGGAATGAGCAGGAAAGAATACAAGGACCTGGATGGGTCGTTAGTCAGAGTCCCAGGACTGCCCTTTAAACTATAGGATTCTCTGGACCTCTCTTGGCTCTTAAGATGCTCTAATTCCTAATCCACAAGAGCTGGAAATGAACACACTTGGACGTTTCCAACAAACACTTTGCTGAACTGATATTGTTGAGAATTAAGTTTTACTACATGAGCAAAATTTACAGATATTTAAAAATGATTTTTTCAAGTATCAATTAACATTTTTTTTTTTTTTTAGATTTTATTTCTTTATTTGACAGAGAGACACAGCAAGAGAGGGAACACAAGCAGGGAGAGTGGGAGAGGGAGAAGCAGGCTTCCTGCTGAGCAGGGAGCCCGACGCAGGGCTCGATCCCAGGACCCTGGGATCATGACCTGAGCCAAAGGCAGACGCCTAACCAACTGAGCCACCCAGGCGCCCCTCAATTAACATTTTCTTTTCGCAGATGGAAATAGATATGGGTTTTAATTGATTTACTAGACTGCAGTCTACTACATGTCATGCATTATGACAGGCACTTTCAAATATTTTATTTTCATAAATAATAGAAGGTAGGTAGCATTATCATAATTTTAGAGACAAAGAAGCTGAATCTTAAAGCACCCAAGTAATTGTCCAAAGCTATTACCAAGAGCCGGGGTCTGACTCCAAATCCAGGGAATTTACCAGAGTTCTACCCTGAGATATAATGGGGCTGTGGGCTGGGAAACCATAGTAGAAGCTTGTCGGCCGTACATGTAGCAGTTAAATGGGCTCTGCCTAATATTCCCAAGGGCTTTCCCATGGAGCGTCAAATACATTTAGTATAAGACAGTTAGTTGTTCTGGGCGCTCAGAAGCTACATAAGGTTTAGTTCATGAAGCGTACCCTGATCCCCTGAGCTAGAAATTATGTCTTTTGTCCTCAGATCATCCACAGCACTTTGCTTGGACCTGGAACACTTTCTATGGTATCTGGGTATCTGGGTTATGTGCATTATTTTCCCTTATGACCACATCTCATCTTCCTTACTAGTCTGTAAATTTCTTAGCAACATGGACTTGGTCTCATTTATTGTTGTATCATCCACAGGCTCTAGCCTAACACATAGAAGTTTTTCGAAATATTTCCTTCGAACTACGCAGTTTCCTGAGAATGTAGATGCTTATGTTCCTTTGCCAAAGCAGGAAAAGCAGTTTGATCCAAAGAGCTGGTGTGGGAGAATCGCTGGCAGGTGGAGGGCCCGGGTCACTCACCCTTCTGTCCTCTTTCAGGAGCGGCTCTGCCCTGGCCCAACTCTACGGAACTTCCGCTACCTTGGAGCATCACCATTTTAACCATGCTGTGATGATCCTTCAAAGTGAGGTACAGACCTAATATTCTGCTTCTCCCCTTGACAGAAAACCAATAAAACAATGTTTGCTACCTCTTTCTTTTTAATGCCACAGGTAGATACGGGGAAGAGGGACACTTTTTTTTTTTAGGCCAAACGATTGTTTTTCTTGGTGGCTTTTTAAAATTCTTTCAGATGCCTGATTAAGAACCTTATTCAGATTCTTCCTGAGCAGATTTCATTTGGGTCTCATTATTGGTAAGAAGACTTTCCAGGTCCACTTGGCAGAGGAGACTGCTTATATAGCTTGTCACCGAAGCACAGTCTTACCTTCCTGAAGGAATACAGAAGCCCGCTGACAGAGTGACTTGGTCCAAGTAGTGAGCAGCCCAACGTTCCCATTTCGCGAAATCCAAAGCCATTTTAAAAGACGGTAGAAGTAGAAACAGGGCGAGAAAGTTACACTTTATTAGCACAACTGAGAAAGCTATAAAAGATAAAAGAATCCAAAATTGCTGGTGGGAGCAGTCTGAAAGTGAGAATTGCAGCTAAACTTGAGACCCAGGGCTAAAGCCATATGCCTTATTTTGTTTCACGTGGCAATGCAGGAGTTGAAAATAGTTGGGCTTTTGTACTTTGAGCTCTCCACGGAGAAAAAGAAAAACCACTAACTGACTCTGGCTGAGGCCTCTGTGTTTTAAATTGCCAGGAAAGGATCTGTTTAATTTTCTGCAGGCGTACAGACTTTTTTTTTTTTTTAGGCCAAGAAGGGATCATCTGTTCCCCATTATTTGTCAGTTCTCTAGCTGTGCCATTAATTATTATTATTATCATCATTAAGGCCCTGCTTCGCTGGAATAGCATCATTAAATATGGAGGTTTTTTTCCTCCAGCCTATCTTGAGAAAGCATGCCTTTTGAAATATCACGAAAGCCTTCTTCGACCCCATAAAGGAGAGTCAGCACTCCAGAACCCAGTGCGGCTGGGGAAGGGCAAAACCGCTGGGGGAGATGTATTTTCAGTTGGGAATGAAACATCAAGGGTTAGGCTCTCAGTAACTCTGACAGAAACCAGCATCTCAGCATCTGCAGCTCTGGAATTTTCCTATTTAAGCCATGTTTCAGCTCAGCGCTGTGGAAGAAAGAGTGTAGAAGGGAGGGTGAGGAGCTTGGGTGCAGACTGTCTTTTCTGTGCCTCTGACCCCAGGAACTCCCCCCTTCAGAACGACAGAGATTAGAAACAGGGTGTTAGGGTTTTCTCAGAGGGTCATTTGTTTGTTTCCTGGGAAAAACAAACCCCACTAACTCAGAATTTGGCTTCATACAAACAAAACACATTGGCTAGTCTTCACTCCAGGGTTCTCTATGAAGAACAATAATAACGGAACTGCGCCCTGAGCAACTGGTGTGTGGGTTGGGGCCTGGCGCTCCCCCCACATCAGCTCCCGCCCCGCCCCTCAGAAAGGCAAACATGCAGATATCATTATCACCCCGCTTTTCAAATGAGGCAGCGGCAGGGCGAAAAGTTGCTCCAGACCTTGCTCCCTCCACATTTGGTTTTCTTTTCATCAGTACCACTGCTCCCTAAACAAGGAGTAGAAGCAGTATTTCAGGGAGGCAGACCTGTTTCAGGGACCAAACCCTTGAGACACTGTAGAAGGTCAATTTGCATATAAGTAATACTCTGCAAATTAGCTATTCTTTTTATTAAAGCTTATCTTTATCACTCTGTTAGGTGTAAATTGTGTCAGTTACTCTATGTCCTTTAAAATTGGTAAAGCATGCTCTCTCACAAAATGATCAAGATCCTCAGGGCTCCTGGGTGGCTCAGTCGGTTAAGTGTCTGCCTTCGGCTCAGGTCATGATCCCCGGGGCCTGGGATCGAGTCCTGCGTCGGGAGCCTGCTTCTCTCTCTGCCCCTTCCCCCTGCTCATGCCCTTGCTTGTTCTCTCTCTCTCTCTCAAATGAATAAATAAGTCTTAAAAAAAAAAATCCTCAAATTCAGACCAACTGTCTCCTGAACTCCACATAGTTTTTACTGTAACTTACTCCTAAAGGCTATATTTCTTTCACCAGGAGATGCTAGACACACGGGTCTGGATCCGGGTGACGACTTTTCCACGGCTTCCACCCACTTTCTCCCAGGCCCCCAGCACACCAGCCCATGATTGATCCATGGGGCAAGGCTCAGGCAAAGAAACCCGCGCAGAATTATGGCGTGGCCTACCTTTAGTTATTTGTCTTCTTCCTAATGGCTGAATTAAGGGTCTGGAAGAGTTCATTTGAAAATTATTATTAATATTGGACCTGGTCCCAGGTGAAACCAATATACTCTAGTCTTTAAGGAGTGGAGGGTTCACCCAATGAGATAAATTAACCCAGGGAAGGAGATTATCATCTGGCGCCTGGTAAGAACTAATTTGCTAATTGATATTCTGGTCCCCTGAAAGAATTAATTTACCTCTTGGTAGAGAATAGTTTATTCTCAGGCAGTCATTCTGCCCCTTCCTTCTGCAGCACCTTCTGGCTTTCAACACCGGGTTTAAAACTCCTCTGGTTCCCGGTCCTCGTGTTTATGAGTTCATAATTCATGCTAAGAAAACCTGATCAATGAAAAAGTCCCTGACTTTCAAAACAGATTAGTGAATTGTCAGTCATTTTACACAATGATTTTTTTTTCACTTTATAAAAACATTGCAGAACTGCCTAATGTAGCTAAAACAAATTTTGATGAAAAGAAGTATGCTTTCCAAAGGTATGGAGATACAGATCCTAGGTAAAGGTCATCTTACCAGTCCCAAGAACTACGCCAAGAACCGTATCTTATACATTCTAGCCACTCAGTAATTACATACTGAGCTTAAACTACCACACACTTCATTGGGATGTATATTCACAATTTCACACAGGGATTCTCAAACTCGGCCATGTTGCCATGCAGGGCCAGGTAAATCTTTGTTGTGGGGTCTTTCCTGTGCATTGTGAGAGATTTAGCAGCATCCCAGGCCTCTACCCACCAATAACACACCCAGTCAGTGTGACAATCAAAAGTGTCTCTAAGCGTTGCCGGAAGTCCCCATTGCCAAAATCACCCTCAGCTGAGAACCACTGGTCTAAGGTTTTTTTTCTTCTTCTTGAAGTCCTTTGTTGCCATAGCAGGTGCTTCCCAAATGCCAACTTTAGTCTTTATTAGAGAAACTAGTGTTCATTTTAGAGTCAGAAAGATTCCCAAATGTTTTGTCAACTTCTACACTCACTAAATTCCACGGGAAGTGGCAGTCAAATGAAGTTGTCGGCACAAACATATCCACAGTAAGTTTAAAGATTTTCACAGTTTTCTATTTAGGACTAATAAAGTCTAATGAAGAATAATAAAGTGCCCCCCGGTAGTCCTCAAAAATGATTGCACTTTCCGGCTTTGCTCTGTCTGCCAGAGAATCTGTTTGTACTTGCACAAAATGTCATTAAATTGTCTTAAATGATTTTATCAGGTGCCCATACTTTTTTTTTTTTTAATATAGGAAACACATGTAATCAACAACCTCAGATTTAATGTTGTCTTTTGTGACTTTTTACTTTCTCATTACAGGGTCACAACATCTTTGCTAATTTGTCCTCCAAGGAATATAGTAACCTTATGCAGCTTTTGAAGCAGTCAATATTAGCAACGGACCTCACGCTGTACTTTGAGTAGGTATTGGCATTTGATCTATTTGACAAATGGATATTGAAAATTTCATCCTGTAATTAATTTTCAGGTCCATATTGGGGGTTGCTTTTTTTTCTAACACTGGTATCAATGTGTAAATGAGCTAAACTTTTTGTTGTTGTTTTCCCCTCATCTAAATGAACTTCATCAAGGTGGTATCTGTAAGACAAGAAAATCAGGGCTACCACGTGAGATTTATAGCTTTCTTCTATTTTATGAGCTTTGTGTGAAATTTTGACTCTGAAGCTAAGCGATGGCCATTTTTATTTTAGAGACTGGCGAAGATTGCTACTTTGGACTATTATTTCTGGTCAGATCCATAATGGTGTTGATGATGCTAATGAAAGATTTGTTGCTGAAAGGTTGACTTGAAATCCAAGTCTTCCTTTCTTGCTTCTCCTCTAGTTCTCTTTCTCAGAAGAGCTGTCCTCCTTTTCTCCAAAGTTCAAGCCTCCATCTGAGCTGGAAATTCCATTGCTCTTATTTCCTCTGAGACCTGCTCCATCGGGTATTACCTATTTCAGCAGCCTGGAAGTCTCTTCCTTCACCAATAGGCAGAGTTTCCTCTTAAAGACCCATTTCCCTTCCTTAAAAAATTTTCACTTGATCCCATGGAGATCTTTAATTGTTTTTCAATTTACCTTTCTTTTACTGCCTACCTTTAAAATGAATGGAACACGTTACTACCTTTATTTTCCTAACACGTATTTACACTTCGAAGACCAATGTGCCCTTTCACATTCAACCAAAATTGCTCTTTCAGAGGTCACCAGAGACTTCCTTGTCCTCAAATTCAATGTCCTTTACTCATTTCTGATATTGTCTAGCTTTGTTGAGACCTCTAAAGGTTTACGGACTTCTCACTATCATTTTCTACCGTCTTCTCTTCCCCAACATCTGGCTGCTTTTCTCCTTCCTTTTCTGGGTTCTTTGTAGGTTTCTTTTCTCCTTGTTCCCACGAATGAGTTCTTTAGCCCGTGTTCTTCTCTCTCTACTCAGATTTGTTCCCTTAGCCTCATCTCCATATAACCTTATATAGGTGTGTAGAAGGCTCTGGAATTCTTCAGTCTAACCCTCCCTCACATTCTAATCATGTATCTCCAACTTCCATCTCAAAAACCTTCAGTGGCTTCATTGTTTCAAACTTGGTTCAAGTTCCAGAGCCCTCCATAATCTGCCCCCAGTCTTTTTTCCTTCTTATCTTCCACTCCTCTCCTACATGATTTGGCTACTACAGACTGGTCTACATATTGCCCTTTGAAAACCCCTCATGAGGTGCCCCTGTGCCCTAATCACACTGTTTCTGCATGAGATCGTGTCCCTGCACTTCCCCACCTGGCTGAACTTTCCTTTAAGGTCCATCTCCTCCATCACCTTTTCTAGGAAGCCTGTTTCACTCTCTTTGAAATCTTACTGCACTTTGGCATTGTGTCAGTTCGAATTAGATTCAATTGTAAGGGAGAGAAACCCCAAAATAGCAGTGGCTTACTTCTCTATCACGTAAAAGAAATTTGGAGATCCACAATGTGGAGATGGTAGAGTAGCTACATTAAGTCATCAGGGACCCAGTGCTCCTTTTGTCTTTCTGAGCTGCTGCCTTCAGCACGTGGTTTCTACCATAGTCCAAAATAGCTGCTCAAGCTCCAACCATAATGTCCCCATTTCAACTAGCAGAAAGAAAGAAGGGGCAAGGAAAAAAAGGGGCCAAAATGTGATGCAGGTTATCTTTTTTTTTTTTTGTATTTGATTTAAGAATTACTTTATTAAGTACTTAGAATGCACTTAAAAACTATGTATACATCAGTAAAACTACCACTCACATCAAAATATTGAACATTTTACAGATGAATGCCATGTTGTTTACCACATAAAGCTTCTTAAATGCTACATCCTACACTGTTTTATACTTTGTTATAGCTTAAATTCTGATAAAAATGTTGTTCCCTATTTCAATTTCTATGCCTTAACAGTTTTCATTATCTTTAAACTCCTTTATCCTTTGTTTTATACAAAAGTGACCATCCCAAGTTCTATATGAAGGCAACTGGAAGACATTCCTAGATGCGGGTTATCTTTTAAGAGAATTTTCTGGAAGCTCCACATAACTCTTCCACTTACATTTCATTGGACAGAATTTAGTCATTTGGCTATACCTAGGTTGAAGGAAGGTTGGGAAAGGAAGTCTTTATTCTGGGTAGCCATGTGCCCTGCTAAAAAAGTAGGGGTTCTATTATTAATAAAGGAAGGAGGGATATTAGATTAGACAACGAACAATCTATGCCATAGGTATTTATTGTTGGATTCCACTGAATGACTTAGTAAATGGTATTGTGGAAGGAGTAAAAGCTTTGGAGGTATGTTGGTCTGGATTTAAATTGCATTCTGGCATTCTAGTTAAACCTGGTAGATTGAGCTCATGTGTCTGTGTCCTCTCTCTCCTGAAACTCCACTGAAAGGATACCAAATAAATTTAAAAGAAAAATAAAGGAATAAATCTGCAAGGAGAAAGAGAGAGGGCACACCACAACTGAGAAGAGATGTCAATACATTAGTGGAAAATCAAAGACTGACCAACAAATGGTAACTGATATAGCAGAGTAGAAGTGAAAAGTAGGACCTACAGAGAATAGGTCTGAGAAGCAAGATACTTTGCCCTGTAAGACCTTGTTTGGAGCCCAGAGACAAAACGTGCCATGAAAAGGGGCTGTGACTCTCAAAGCTTAAGGAAGATAAGGAGATGATAGCAAGCCAGTTTACAGAACATACAGAGCCCACAAAATGCTCCCCCAAAGTAGTCAGTTAGCTTCTTTCCTCTACCCCTGGAGACAGCTAAAGGTTTATTCCCTGGAGAAATGAAAGAGCAGACTCTGGACTGAGGAAAATACAAGGTGGGAAGGAGAGACAGAGCTCAGAAGAGGGAATGAAGTGAAATGGAACAAATCTCTGGATTGAAAACCTATAGCCCAGTCACCCAGAAGCTAGGAGTTCATAAGCCATATACCCAGGGTTGTCAGATTTAGCAAATGGAAACACAAGAAGCCCAGTTAAATTTGAATTTCATATAAACAATGAATAATTTTTAGTATAAATACATCCTGTGTAATGTGTGTGTGGGATGCACACATACAACTCCTGCTCAGTCTTTCAATGCCTTACTATTATATACAAACAGATACTGAGAATCACAGAAAATTTTGCGAAGACCTCCCATATGAAATACAGAAGCCAAAGAAAATAGGAAAAAATTATATTCAGAGCAAACAGGGAGAAGAAAACAAAACCCAAAAACTATTGTTGATATCCTTAGACAGCTAAGATATTACATCCATGAAACAAGAACAGGATGCTTTAAAAAATAATAGGAGTGACCACAGAAGAAGAAAAAGCTCTTGAAATTAAGAATATTATGGCCAAAATAAAACATGAAATGAAAGCACTGGGAAATACACTCAAAGAACAAAAGGCAGCAATATGGAAAACACTGTTTTGTTTCATTATGTGCTTTACAGTATTGTTTGATTTGTTAACTATGTGCATGTATTACCTTGATAAATATAAATTTAGTTAATTTTTAATATATATTTTAAAAACAAAAATTCCAGCTCTGCCACCACCTGGCTCTGTGTTATCAGACGAATTATTCACCTCTCTGAGCCTCTTTTCTTCATGTGTAAAATGGAGATAACAATACCTATGTTATCTATCTTATTACATCTCGTAAATGCCTTGTATGTCTTTTTTTTTTTTTAAAGATTTTATTTATTTTTCAACAGAGAGAGAGACAGCGAGAG